TTGATCAATCACAGTCGAATATGAGAAGAATAATCAACTGTGATTGGTCAATTTTCTACGACTTAAGCCCTTACGACCGCTACGACTTCTATTGTAGATCCCGCATTACACAAATGACGTTGATAGCGTGCTGCCCAAACTAAAGTCACTAGATCTATTAAGTAGTGCAATTGATTTCAGAAAGTTACGTCAAAATGGCCAAAATGCATATAGTACACGATTCTAAGGGCGCGTTCACACCTTGACGGAAAAGCAGAAAGCGGAAAAGCAGCAACCAATCAGAACTCACACTGGTAGTCGACAATTTCGGCTTTTTGTACAACTTACTACCAGCGCGAGTTGTAATTAGCCACTGCTTTTCCGCTTTTTGCTTTTCCGTCAAGATGTGAACGCGCCATGAAGGTTCATCTTTTAGGGCCCTGGCACACAAAAAACTTAAGGCAATAAGACGTAAACAGTAAGGAAATCAACATGTTGGATTCGCTACTGCTTATGTTATGGCCTTATGGCCTCTACTGTGATTGGTCAATTCGCTTACTGCTTATGTTTTACTGCTTAAGTTTTTTTGTGTGCCATGGCCCTTAAACTGTACTTAGGCCGGAATCAGACTAGGACATTGAAGATTGAGATTGAAGATTAAAAGATTGAAATTTGATCAATCAAAATAATAGGAGCTAAAATTCCTTTGCCTTCATTGGTCAAATTTCAATCTTTAATCTTCGATTTCAATTTTCAATGCGTAGTCTGATTCCGTCCTTACATGTCCTTTCGTGCACTTTCATGCACTAAACTTCTACAGCAAATAAATTAAACTAATGAATACATAAATTAAGCATTCGTACATATTCTTTTGGTCATAAATAAACTAATTACAATTAAAAACATTGATTTACATACTTGACGGCTTCATTTTCCCAATAAAGTACGTAAATACAAATGCATAAATTCGAAATAGCCGTGTTTTGCGTCAACATGGATGCGAGTTTGCAATACTTTATAGATCTAGTGACTTTAGCCCGAACGCAGCCCTCGTAATCGATTACCCCAGATCTACATTAGGATTATTCCCCTCGGATTCGACTGTGATTCGCCCATTACTTATGACTCAAGGCTTAAAAACCTATTGTAGATTCGGGGTTATGGGTGCTTTCCAGCAAGGACATAGTCAGACACTGTGTAAGGCCGGAATCAGACTAGGCATTGAAGATTGAGATTGAAGATTGAAAGATTGAAATTTGACCAATCAAAACAATAGGAATTAAAATTCCTTTGCCCTCATTGGCCAAATTTCAATCTTCAATCTTCGATCTCAATCTTCAATGCGTAGTCTGATTCCGGCCTAACACAGTGAATCGTTTCATCCTTGTTATTTGCCAACGTTAAACAAGGATGTGATGGCCTTAATTGTCATTATAATCGCTTTTGCGTATCACCATAACCTCTTAATTTGCATTGCTGTTAACGGAGTAAAACTTTATTCGATGGTAAAGATTCTCGATAAAATTATTCTTGAAATTAAAAAAAATATTATTGCATTACTCAGATAAATAATTCTGTATGATACGTAGAAGAATTTCATATGGTTTAATCTATGGAGTATTCCAACTGTTTGAATAAATAAAGAAATTGAATGAAGTAATTTTAAAGTCATTTGTGATTGCTTGTTTATAAATTAAAACAAAAATGTTTGAAGATAAGATGTTGTATAATTGCAGGTACGATTGCAGTATTATGTTCTTACATTCAAGAAACATTGAAAAAAATGATAATTGTGAAGCATATATATCTACTGTTAACGAACAAGTAATCAGAGCTTTCTGTATAATACCAGTAATAACAATTTAGTCAGCATGGGTACTGTTCAAGAGCAAAAATGCGATAGAGTGAGATAGAGTGTATAGGATAAAATGAAATAGAAATATGTCACTAGTACTATAAATGGCTGCCAAGCCATGTGATTGCAACAGCGAATCAGAATGCGTAACACCGGTTGCGCCTCTCTGATAAATCTAGGACTCTAATTTTAACTAGATTAGTATTATAACGCCATCTATCAAAATGTTGAGAAGTATTTTTATATTTACATTTGACCCCCTGTCTTGTAAAAGATATAAATGAGGTTAGGACTACAACCTCTTTCGATAAATAGTATACAATATCACTGATGTCAAATATGGCAACAAAAAAGATCAATGGATTATATGTGCCTTTTAATCAGTTATATAAACGAAATGTATTCATGGTAAATGCTATAACAAAACGCACATATGCAACCACGGATGAAGTTGATACTCAAGTTACTCATACTGGTCAGGTGAGATGTCCTTGGTTCAGTCACAAAAAAATTTTTTACAAGATATTGCTTTACTTGTTCGAGAAATTTATATAGAACAGTAATACATTATACTTATCGAATTTATAAAGATATATTTATCATGCTTATTGATTATTAGATAAGTAATGATTTTTCCAATGAACAAATTACCTGCAGTATGACATAGAATGGCAGCAGATTTGCAACAGATCTAATATCATTTGTATCTGCATCGAAATCATATTTTGCCGACAGATCTTGTCAATATAGATTACATTTTATAAAGCCCATAATGCACATAATGTATCATCTTATTCTTATTATTCACTGAATATTAAAGGATAACATGATATATCACATGCTTATGGAACTGGAGCATAATCTGACAGCAAATTGTTGGCAGAAACTGAATAGAATCTATTATTTTAGGTCAGTTTTTGTGATTAAATTAGTGTATACTTTGGAACTTAAAATGAGACATGTTTGATATTTCGTGAAAGCAAGAAAGAGAATTTCAGTGCAGTTTAATACAGGAATAAAAAAACAAACCTTTTGTAAATATTTAATTGATTATGATAGTAGATTTTGCTTAATTTCTGTAGTCTATTATATGTACTATTATATTTTATCATATTATTTTATTATATTTCAAATATTGATAGTAGATATTGTCATAACCTGCGAGGTTTGATTATCAGATTTGTGATTAAATTATAAATTTCATTATATTTTCAAGATTTATTGATACTACAGAAATATAATAAATCAAATAATTTTAATCACCATGAACTCACTTTCAAAAAGTATAGAGAACCATTTCTAATATTGTCCTTTATAACTTCTTTAATGAATACTATGTATTTGTTTTTTTAACTACATGTTGTTATGCTTTATCA